TTGGAGCCCTGGGTGAGATCAAGCAGGCATCCTCAAAGGCCCTTCAAATGCTTTTTATGGAGAAATGTGTTATAGAACAAGCCTATAGCACCAGGTATTTTAGCTAAATGAGACAACACAGACATCCTCCTTCCTTATGCAAAATGATCAGGGCTTACAGAGATTGAAGTGTCTTCTCCAACCTCTTCAGTTTCAAATGATTTTTGTTTGTTTGTGTTTGCAGTCTTTTTTTAAGTGCATGAAAAAGCACTTAAGAAATCAGTGCCAACATTTTAGAATGAAGTTTACTTTTTCTTATTTAGCTCATGAAAATGTATGCTCCATCAATTATATAATGTTGTGGAACTATTGTGAATTAAATTTAGCTGTTAAAATATACAAAGTAGAGAAACTGAATGAGCAATTTCCAGCATTCATTTGACTTGTGATATAACAATAAGTATATCCATGTCCCATTTCTGACCCCTACCTTTTTGTATATATGATTCCTCTGCATACTTCAGGTATTAGTACTGATTTTGTTATTTTCTTGGCATTTTGTGCACTATATGGATGGTGTGTGTGTGTTGCTGTGAGCTCTGCAAGATTCACTGACTAATTGGTAGTTTCGCACCAAAACCTTCTGAAAACCTAAGGGCAAAAATTCACCAGGAAGGCAGCAATGACCTACAAGTGCCATCTCTTTCTCTTTGACCTCACCACTTGTACACTTTTTATCCTAAACTATTCCCCAAATGTTTTGCAACCCATCTCTGCCAGTTGCCTGCTCTGTCTCATCATAACCCCCTCCCCTCACATCTACATTTGTGGCCTCATTTTTGGTATGACTCAAGATGAGCATTCACTTAAACCCAAGATGTGAAATATTTAAGGGGACCTTTTGTGAAACATGCTGTGGCAAGTGTTACTTACTGAGACTGAATCAACACTTCCTTGAACATGGAATGTGAAACTCTCCAATTACTACATAAATGAAAAATGGTAGTAGTTTAGCTAAGAAAAAATGTCATCTCTTGTACATCATATCTATAGTAAGGATGAATATAATGCCAAATATTCATTATTTGTAAAGAAATATATAATAGAGATATATATATAGATATATAAATATATAATATATGCTCAATTAAAACATTAAAATATTTTCGGCTCTTGCTCATGTTTTGTCATTTTTAATGGTTGATTGATTTTATAAATTGATATGCCGGCATGCAAAATAATGTTTCTGAATGTAGGCTTATTTACTAATGATCACTTCTCTTTTTTATCACTGTCTTTCACATTTGTATGTTTAAGTTGACCACACAAGCATTTTTAAATGTTTCTTATCTCAGTGCTTTATCAGTCCTATTAGGCCTAGTAGCGCTCCACTTTTTGTGTTATGTATCTTAGCATATGCAAGACTTAGACACATTCTTTCTTGGGTCAGTGTTTTTGCTTCTTTAAGTAGGTTAATCATAGTTGAGGTCATTCAATGTAAATAATATTGCAATTAAATTTTTTGACAAAAGCTTTGGGAACAAATTTTTTGTGTGGTGTCTTTTTTCAGCAACACAATTAAGTATTTGCTATAACAGCGTATTATTGCATTATTGTATTGTTGTACAGACCTTTATTTAATTTCATCTGCAACAACTCAGTTTGACAAGGTCGCCATCTGGTGGCCCAAGAAAAAAAACAAATATTGACTATGCAAATATTGACAATATGGCCTATATCTTGTATTTATTGTTCTATGAAGATTAATAAACATATAGCTCAAGTGTAGAGATGCACAGTTTTGAATAAATAATTAGACCAATATTCAACAAGTGTGCCGTTGTTTAAGTTGTAACTGAGACCAAAATAAATGTTAATAAAAGTTTGTGGGCAGCGAACTACATTGACCAATGGGGAAGGGGGAAATGGTTGGTGGGCGGGACTTCCTGTCTTCTGATCATGTGACCAAAATTAAAGTCGTGTGATGTGAATTCTTCTAACAGAGCATCATGTGAAACCGCGTTCATGTGGCAGGTGTACCAAACTACTCTTTTGTGGTGAGTATCGATAAGCTGAAACGGTTTTATTTTTTAACAAATACTGATTTAGTTGTTCGTTTACGCAGAGTCGGTCTATGTAACTAGCAGTAAGTTAGCTTCTCTGCAGTCGCTTACATAAACACATCCACATGCTGCTGTGAGTTTGTAGTCAGGCGACACAAAACAGTTTATGCAGGTAGTGTAGACAAAACTCTACTGTACAAGTCCTGTTTTTGTCTGTGCAATCCCTCCGTCGTCCTTGAAAATTATATTCTATCAAGTTTTTTAGAGTGAAGACGTTTCGCCGCTCACCCCAGCGGCTTCTTCAGTTCAGGAGCTGGAAACTCGTGTTTTTGTTAAACTTGTCTTTTGCTCTGTATGTCCCTCAGAAGAACCACAATTGTCCCCATCCCACAGAGATCATGGACTCGGGACAGCTGACCAGACTGGGTGCGGAACAAACCCTCCACCATCTTAGTGCTGAATACTTGTCTTGGGAGCACCGTCTGCAGCTCATGGGTGCGGGCTTTGCAGTTTACACAGCAGTGTTCCTCCTCAGCCATATCCTCTCGATGGCATTGTCTCATACCTATAACTCTTTGCTGGCCAAGGAGAAGGTATTTTGGAACCTGGCTGTGACACGGGGTGTGTTTGGCCTTCAGAGTATTGTAGCAGGACTGAGAACCCTTACTGAGGACTCCATGTTGTCCAGGGACAGAGTGAATGGCCAAGAGGACTGGTCCTGGTTTCACATACTCACTGCCACAGGATTTTTTGTCTTTGAGAATGTAGCCCTCCACACTTCTAGTTTAGTATTCTGGTCCTTTGACATGCCACTGGCCACACATCACTTCTTCGCCCTGGCAGGGTATGCAGGGGCAGTGGTGTGGGATTCAACTGGACACTTCCTGCCAATGGTGACTCTACTGATGGAGATGAGCACTCCGTTTACCTGTATATCATGGATGCTGCTCAAGGTAGAGTGATGTTTTTTGGTGCAGTTATGTCTGATATCTAAAAATCAATTATGCAGCTTGTGTTAGGCCTGTTCGTTTCAGATCCTTTTTGCCAGTTTTGTTAATAGAAAGAGGAAGTACCTTTTAAAGTAAACCTTTCTCTGTAACTTACAAATTAGACAAGGAAGTACACAATGTGATTTTTTTTTTTTTTTTTTTTTTTTCCACTCACTTGTTTTTTCTTACTTCCCTTCACAGGCTGGTTATGCCCACACCTCGTTTTGGAAAGCCAACCAGTGGGTGATGATCCACATGTTTCACTGCCGCATGGTGCTCAGTTACTACATGTGGTACTTCAGCTGTACACACTGGCGCGAGATCAATGCCCACGTGTCCCTTCCACAGCGTCTGCTCTTCTTCCCTGGTTTAGTCCTGCTCACATTTGTACTGAATCCCATCTGGACACACAAGAAAACCATGCAGCTTCTTAACCCTGTTGACTGGAACTTCGGCAACAAACCAGTGCCTGTAAACGGCCCTAAGAAGGGTAAATCTCACAAAGAATAAATGGTCCTATATAATTTCATAGTTTGTTTCCACAGTATTAATGACTAGATCTGCATAGAGCTTTTATAGTAAAATAGTGTTTTATAGATAGTTACGTGTACTGAGATTGCACTGACGTTTCATCATGATGGCACGTTCTTAATTAGTTAATGACTTTTTTTGTTTTACTTTATTTAAAATATTTTACTGAGTTGTTGGCCTGCTAAACCATTTCAGTGATCAAGCTGAAACAACTTTCGCTTACTTGTTTACATAAACCTAATATTCTGTTAAGAAATGTTGTTGCTTTGTGAACTGGATTTGTTTTGGAAGTTGGCTCTAAAAGTGTCATTGTCACCATGGAGTTCTTTATACAGTCTATAATTGTCACCATTTATTTTCACAACTTCTTTTTAAATCAAAGCTAAAATTGTTTACCAGTGTGTTCTTAATCATTTCTACTCATTATTTTGACATGTTTTGCTATATTCATATTACTACACCAAATCCCAACTAGTCCCAGCCCATGTATTTTACGCATTACACACCGTTAACCATGTCTGAGTCACGCAAACCAAGTAGTTTGTGTCTGATGAAAAAGTTACTCACACAGAAACTTACTTGTATTTGTAATTATTACATTATTTCAATTGTATTTTTGGTCATGCTGCCTTTACAGCTGATACAAAACTGACGGGTGTACTGAGATCCAGTATATGGTGTTCTCATTGGCTTATAGTTTTAGACAAAACTTTAGCAATTTTAGGATTTGGATTTCAGCTTTTTGTTTGCTGTTTAAATTATTATGGAATGTGACTTATTGTGCACTTAATATTGCCTCACTGTATTTGAATCGAGTTTGTTGGGCAGAATATAACCTAATAAATTCATCTACTGTTTGCAACAGTTATTATTCTCACATGCATACTTGGTAGCAATGCAGCTTCACACATTACATTTCCTCAAGGGGTTTGTTGAAGAATTGTTGAATAATTAAGTTACTGAATGTAGTACTGAAACGTTGCATTATGAAAATGTAAACAAAAGCCAGCGCCATCTGCTGGATATATTGGGGTTTAACAGAACTGCCACTGATTCTTTACTACGGAATTGTCTCTAATCGCAGGCACATAACTATACAGGCCCAATAAAGTCCATTATATAGTTTTAAATGTTTGTGTAATTTTTACCTCCTGCTGTTAAAATGTTAAAACCCTGGACTTTTTACTTTTCATACACACTTAAAATATTTGTGAACAATGGCAATGCTGTAATAAAAATACAGATATAGACCTGTTCTTTGTGATTTTCTGGGTGGATTCATATGCATACGTCACATGGTCAGCTCGCTCATCAAACGGTGTGGAAGTGTGAGTGACATCTCTATCAGCCAATAGGAAGCCTTCTCTGCACAGCTCTCGTCCAATCAGCTCTTAGGAAGAGGGCAAACGCTTTACATGGATGGGCTCAGTTTGCATTGGAAAAAGTCATCCACTGAAGACGCTTCAAGAAAGTATGTGATTTATTTTTTCTTTCCGTTTTATGTTTAATGCATTTTGTGTGAAGCCTCGTCGCCACAGCGTAAACAAATACGAGACGTGAAGGCGAAGTCTAAGTAAGTTAAACTTTTTTCTGCAAACTGACAAAGTTTGAGATCCTTCTTTTTCCCAAGTTTTGCTCTGGATTAGTGTTAGTGGATTTTTAAGCGCTGTTTGGAAAAGAAATGGGCTTCGTTAATTGTTCCTTCTGGAATTTCATTTAGAAACATGATGTAGATGGGGAGATGGCTTATAACGTGGCGCTTGAGTTAACTCTGTAAGTCCCACCACTGTCAACCTGCTAGAGGCTTTCTTCTAACCTACTTTCCATTCTATAGCATAATTGTGCCAACTGCCTTTTTATTTAAAACTAATGTACGTAGTTCAATGCTATTAGAACTCAATTAATTACACTTGTGCCGAAGCCTACAACAAAATACCCCAGAAGAGCTTCATTTTGTAGAATAGATTTCATCTGTTCTCCTCCTCTCATTGCTTTGACTTTTTGGTCTCTACATGATTTTTGAAGATGCTCCGTGGCTAGGCAGTTGTAGTAGTCTACAATTGCAAGTCTGATTCAAGTAGTCATGCATAGCATTCCTCAGTGAAAGGACTTGTACAGCTTCGGTCAACTGGAACATTAGGATAGTTGTGTAAAGGGCCTATTAATCAGAACCACAGTGAAGTTGAGTTTATGTACATTTCTCTTATAGGTTCTGGAAGTACTTCGAAGTTTATTCTTTTTGTTGGTGTTTGGTGCATCCCAAGGTGAGGGGGAGAAATCAGGGTCACACACACATGCTTGTACACAAATCCTCATCGGTCATTTGTTAAACAAATAGCAGCAGTGGCCTGAATGTAAAGACACACACCTGCATAGACTCAACACTCCAGTACCACATCTCTTACTATCAGTGTAGTAACTAAACATACTTATTCCATGTTATGAACACAGCAGCCTAGAGAAACACACTGTCTGATTCCATTCTAAATCAGGCACTCAATGTCAAGACATTTCAAGCAAGCAGATTTTACCCTGATAAATCCTGAAGTGTCAGTACATGGACGGGGTTCAACCATTTCTCATCGGTTAGTAATGGACACAGTGGCCAGCCGCAGAGCCACTAAACATCCACTGAGATCATACATGGATTGTTGACATACTTTAGCGCCAGCTGTGAAAGTCAACAGGGCTGCAGATTTTCTCCAAATACATGTGAAATTGCATATTTATTTTTCTAGCTGAGATTTGTTTGTCTGGGCTGAGCTCTCGTTTCCTTTCACCTTGTTGCTGCTAACTTTGATGCAGAATTTCCACAACTCACAGTCAATGTCAAGGCCTGTACAATGGATAGAGATATAGTGACAGCTAGTTGAATGGAATTTGTGTTTTTGTGATTAGATTGTGTCAACAAAGTTATATTTGGGCAACAACTAATTAGTTACAGCCTTGTTAATGCTTAACTCTGTGGTTTTGGTGTGGTTCAGGGGAGAGGCACCGATCTGTTAAGTGACAGTTTGGATTGTGGGTGCCATCATTTTCACATACTATCCTTCATATTTTTAGCAGTCTATCTTATTGCTTAAGTTCTGCATTATCTTATTTTGTGAAATTGTTAACTTAATACTAGATCATTCTAATACTGTTCCGGAAAGATCAAATATTGTTTTAGTTAGTTGACTGTACATGTACTTCTAAACCCATATTCTTATTTAATTTCATTATACTGTATGTTATTGCCTTGACTTTAGTTTGTAAAGCCAGTCTGTCTGTTGTTCATGGTCTGAAAACTCTAACCCTGTACAAAGCAAAGGATTTTCATTTTGTCTCACACAATCTTCTTCCCTTCACTCCTCTTCCTCGCCACCCTCTCCCCCAGGCTTTTGTTTATGACTTTTGTGGAATGCCACTTGTCATTATGCATGCTCTGCAACGCTGTGCTGAGGAATCAAAAAGCCCTCCAAGAAACCATGCTGTGCCATAATCTGTTTTTGAATTTGAGGGAAGCGTTTGAAAAAAATATGTTGAATTTCAATTTAATTTATTCAGAATAATTACAAAACAAGCCATGTCAGAGATGTACAAAATGCCATCTTTTGCAATGAAAAATGATAGATATTTTAGTTTCTCCTGCTATGATAATGTTGCTGTGTACCGTGAATCCCGGGTGAGTGTTCTGCTGTAAAGCGTATAATAAGAACAGGAGTAAGCTAATTGCAGCATTAGCGTAGTATTGCAGATGAGTGTTTAGTGTGAGCTGGGAACACCACAGTCCGCCTGGCGTGTGATGACATGCTCTGCTGTGTCTGTCATCTGCTCCAGGCTCACTGCCTTTTGGTGCCCACTGTTTTCAACTTTGTAATTAGATACTTCCGTTTCTTAAGATGACTGATTATTATGGACCACATAGCATTATTAAGTGTGATATGTAATGCAGTGGTTCTGCTACACTGTAACATTGCATCTACAACTGTCCTTTTTATTGTTTCTTCTCACATCTGAACATTTGACAGCTCCCCATCCCTCCCTTCCTTTTTCCGTTGTTCCTGACTTTGGGAGATGATTCATATCTGACTCACTGTAAAATTGTATTTAGTCTGAGTTTACCTGGTTCACACTCTTTGGCCTCACCTTCAGATGGGCTGTAGGATTGGAGCAGTCTTTGTGTGCCTTTGAATTCCTACCCATTGTTGGGAGCAGTGTCCTGAGGCGATGCACTGGCTGCTCCTGTCAGCTGCCTTGTTGAGCACACACTGGTGCTGTGTGTGGAGCCCCTGCTCTGGCCTTGTGCCCTCTGAAGGGTGTGGAACAGAGAGGCAGACGCTTTCACAGTATCTGCAGACAAAACAAGCCCTGGATCCTCTGCTTTATCTTTCACTGTGTTTTTATCTAAGTCAGATGTTAAGCTCTGTTGTGGTTCAAGGAAAAACTAAGAAACCCCAAAAAAGTCACAGTAAACATAATATAGAGCTTATGGCCTACAACAATGACTGCTTTATACTGTTGCTAGCATGATGTCATGATTCTGCCATGCAGAGGAAGTGTGAGGATGAAGGAGTGAGCAGTTTTATTTATATTTTTTAGGCCTTTGACAGAAACTGTCACTTTTTGGTATAAATAATGCATCTGAAAACAAAGGCAGGGTGGAATGTAACGTCTTCTGCCCCTACAGGTCCGGAGGTCTCCTGTCTCAGCTTGTTAATAGCCCTTTTTGACTCAGATGTGCTGGGGCTACCACCTGAAATATGACCTCATTGTTCTGAAAGAGTCAGTGTTCTATTTTGCAGTAAAGATCGGGATGTCTCTGCTTTTTATGTAATTTTTCAGACATCAGGAAGGACAGATCCAGTGTATTTGAATTGTTAAGAATCTATACCTAATGTAACCCTGCCATTGTTGTCCCTCTTGTTGACATTTCCTATTCCTTCTTTAGGAATGTGCGGCTGCATACTTGAACTCCTTCATGCTGCACTCTGAGGAGCCGGTGCCAGAGAAGAGTCAGCATGGACGTGGAAGACTTCCCTCCCCCACCTCCTGAAAGTAAAGACATTCAACTTTTGTACACACATGCCATGCACTTTGACATGTACTTGAGTCTTCTATTTGGGATTTTAAGATATACATGTGGGCAAATGTAGCGCTTGCCTTATCTGAGACAGACAGGAGCTAGAGTGAGGTTTTTTTGCTCATGGCCGGTTAGCTCAGTTGGTTAGAGCGTGGTGCTAATAACGCCAAGGTCGCGGGTTCGATCCCCGTACGGGCCATTGAAACATTTTTTTTACTGTGCAATTTTGCATTATACTCATGTTTAGGATTCTCAAGAAACCATACCCAGATACTAATCAATACTAAAATCATTTAAATAGGACAGTGTAATAACTTGATGCATTAATAATTGCAATCTATTTTGATATCAAATTTGGATTAAACTATTTCTGTATCAAAATCAAGTTTGAAATCTGAGTATGATGACAACAGTAGCTAGATAGATCATATTATGATAGTTTAATCTTCCTGATTGGCCTCTGTGTATGCTAGTGAAACTGGACAGCTTGAACAAACAGCACAGATTGCTCTTCCCTCCTCTGCTGCCGGAGTGTGTGGGCAGTGGAGCCAGGGAATGAACAGGGCAAATTGTGCTGGGCTGCTGTGAATTCCAGACAATGTGCCTTTAGAAGCGCACAGAATCATACACACACAGACACACATACGCACTCTCACACATGCACACACACACACACACACACACACACACACACATACAGGGAGCGAGTAGAGATAGACACAGGCTAGAGAAATGCCTCGTCTCCATCTGTCCAGCTGCTGCCTTTGTGGACTGGGCGATGGAGAGCGTGACCTGTGACTCATCTGAGAGTCCCATGCCCGCTCTGGTACTGTATGTCAGGCTGGACATAGGCTGAGGAATACAACACGCATTGTTGTTTTCTCAGGACAAAGAAGACAAGTCTTATCTTTTATTCTGGCTTAGTGGACTGGTTAAAGGTCCTATACTACACAAAATTGACTCTTGTGAGCCTTAAGCCATGTTAGAATGCAGTTTCCTCCTCAAAAACATACCTGGTTTTGTGTTTTGTTTCATTCACACATATTTGAGTAATTCTTCATTATTAGTCGGTCTACCTTTTACCTTTTGTTCAGTAGAGTGTGAGAGATTCCAGTTCTGAAATTATCCAAATAATTCTAGTGAAAGTGTATGGAGTTTAAAAACACAGTGGAGAACTTCCAATATTACCACATGACATCACAAGCTGGAACATTGTTTTTCATTTGAGAGAAGAACTCAGCCTAAATATGCAGTGTTTGAGTGCGAAATATGTGTGACTGAAACAAAACACAATTCCAGGTATGCTTTTCTTGAGGAAACATTATAACATGGATCTGAATATACTACAATGTGGGCCCTTTAATTGAAATATTATTTGTTTTTAATGAGACTATTTAAAATCATTGTAATCTACCAGTATGAAAAAAATCATGATGTTTTTGTCGTATCGCCCAGCACTACTTTTACAGACACAGAATTTGCTTTAAACTTTGCTGAAAAGTTGGCCAAATTTGAAACAATTGATCAACTCCACTCAGGCTAAATTTGCACATATATTGTAAACTTCTTGTGAACTGAAGCATTTGGATGTATTTCTTGTCAGAGTAAGCATGTTTAGTTTGAGCAGAAGTACAGTTCAGCATCCATGTGTCTGGTTTTGTGTTAGCGAACATCTGCCAACTTGCACTTTGAGGTCAGTGTCATGAACAGTCCCCTATAATTAAGCTACAGCAGACTTTCATGGCCACATATTCAACTGTGAGAGGCCCTTTTCACAGTAGCTTTACAACTAGCCTTTCCATCAAGTCTACTCTTAGGGGGTGTTAACTACTAGCTTAAACTATGGAAGTCAATGAGTAAACCTAAACCCTCAAACACTTGAGCTGTGCCTTATCTCTGTGATTCACAATTCACAGTTCACTATTTTATGTGGAAAAACAAAGATAGGATCTAGTTTGAAACAACCACTTTGTGCCTGTGTTCTTAATCTGAGGTTGGAGTGTAGTGGGGTCACTGTTGATGACCTGAGACATTAGCCACAGGCTGTTTCTTCCATATATTTGAGTGAAAAGGAGATGCAGACAAACCCACTGCTGGTGCAATATGTCATTTAGTCATTTGGGGAAGTTTAGAATGACTTGAAAGGTTTTAGTCTGGTCAGAGGTGAATAGACCAACCTAAAATTGTACTCAAGTAAGAGTGCAAAATATTATTATTTACCGGTAAGTTGAAGCAAAAATCTATTATAACGTTTCTGGATAAACAATTATTATCTATTAACTATTATTAAACTATTATTATAAACTATTATTCTAGTATTAAATAAATATTCTGGACATAACACCAGAATTAATCATTTGAAATTTGAACTAAAAACTATTTAAAAGAAAAGACCACAAATATTAGAAAACATTAAATCTGAAGGGGCAGTGAAAGAAACACAAATGTTCAAATCATGTACTGTCATACTGTTAACATAAAGCTTTTTCCTTTAGTGAACTTAACTATCTCATTAAATCTGGGAAGAGTAACTACAAACATTTACTTTTAAGTAATAATAATGAAATGATACTGTTACATATTACAAGTAAATATACTTGAATAAATGTAACAGAGTACTACCCATTTCTGTAGCTAAGATTTGTAAACAAACACAGAACTAACAGACTTTGCTTACTGCTGTTATTGACAATTCACTCTGAATTACTTAACTCTTTATATTAAATGTAAAGGTTTACTAAATATGCTATGTGTACTGCATATGTAGTGGCTGGGGGAGGGTCAAAATGCCGAAACCCGGGATCGAACCAGGGACCTTTAGATCTTCAGTCTAACGCTCTCCCAACTGAGCTATTTCGGCTGTGGGAGGGGGAGGGGACTTGTACTTTGAATAGCTAACAAGTGCCCCACCTGATAACGCTAAGTATGGCTACTCTGTACTAAACAGAAAAATGCTTCATTTTTAGAGCAGTACTTACAAGACTTATTTCTTTAACAAATTAAAGTCAAAAAACAACTGAAGGGAAAAAACAAGACAAAGTTTACACAACATATTGTGTAATTCCCTCCCCACACTCGGGCTTCTTGCCACATTCATTAAATCTCAAAAAAAAAAAAAAAAACTGAGTGAGGGGGCAACTGTGAGAAGCAGCTTTTTATACTTTTCATTTTCCAGGCCAGTGTTCTGCCTTCAGATCCTCCATATGTTTGCTTTTAAAGAGAAGTCAATTGTGGATACACTGTAAAAATAACATTGTTTGGTTGAGTTGAGCACACCCTAAATTACAAGTCTAAAGCCTAGTCGTTTAACTTAACATAACAGGACAGGATCCCACCCACAGAGTCTCTCACAGTTGATTCAAGTCTTGAAATTAAATGCTTAAACACCCCATTCATTCTGCAATAGATAAAAAGTGTTCTGTTTTATTGCGAGATAGGGCCAGTGATACAAATTCAGGCCCACACCAGGTAGGTAAGGGACATGATTCTATTATTGTTATCATTTAACATTGGAAGTATGGTTTCATGCTGTGATATCAGTCAAATGAGAATCTATGTTTTCACCATCAACAGAAAATTTAAACTAATTTTGCTTCAACAAACAGAAAGCGAAAAAGTTCCTCTGTGAACTTAAATACAAATGAACTTAAATTTTTCGTTATCGGCTAAAAAAGCAAGACAAATATTGAATACTGTACTGACTGTAAGAAAATCCATGTCAGACCATTCCTAATAATGTTGATTCAATTTCTATGGGGGACATTGTAGATCTTGCACTTTTTTACTCATTGTTTTTACCTGTAGCACTTTCAGATTATTTTATGTAAAGTGCAATATAAATAAAATGTATTATTATTATTATTATTATTATTATTATTATTATTATTATTATTATTATTATTATTATTATTATTATTATCTTGAACTATATAGGTTTACATTTTAAATTTCACTTTGTATGTGTAAGTACTTCATGATTTCTGTGTCTCTCTTAGTGTTGGCGGACAATGACTCGTATGAAGAGGAGGGAGAGGCCTTTGAGTTTGATGACAGTGGAGATGACGTTCCTGAGGCTGACCGGTTACCTCCTCCTGCTCCTCCAGTGTTTATAGCCCCCAGCGCAGAGGATCACAGTGAGGAAGACTTACCTCCACCTATCACCACGGAAACAGCCCCATCGCCCGAAGAGTCAACAATCAGCAACAGCCAGTGCCTCTCCACGGGGGGAGAGGTGTTAGCAGGAGAGCACACGTCTGTAGTTGAAGACAAAGATGCAGATTTACCCCTACCACCTCCTCCCGAAGACACGGAGAGAAATGAAGAAAAAACAGGTTTGTTATTCTATGCTTTCACTTTTTAAATAGTGAGTCTATTTTTCACTTGCACCATATTGCTCTCCTAAATACACAAGCAATTAAATTTGGACTTTGAATGGAGGCACTATGTTATATTTTCCATATAAATATTTTTCTATGAAGCATATTTCCTTTGGATCAACATACAATAATTCAATTGAAAAATGTATCCCAAATTATTATACCGTAAATTCTGGACTCTAAGCCGCTACTTTTTTTCTCACACTTTGAACCCTGCAGCTAATAAAACGAAGTGGCTAATATTTGGGCGGATTCTTTGTTTGGCATGTTGTCCATTCATATATACGGTCTATGGTTTGGCAACACAGCGGATACACGCAGCATGAAAGTGCAGAAAACACCGCTGTCTGTGCAGTTACACATGGATCTTAACATGAAGTTAACATGAAGCTGCTACACTAGCTAGTGATATTGTCAGTGCACTCAAATAGTTTAGCCCCGGCCCCCGAGAGCCTTAAATCTGCTGAAATCCTCCAAGATACTGACATGAAGAAAAGACAGCACTATTAGCTCTTGTAGGAGACATGTGCAGTAGAGCGGGGGGAGAGACGGGGGTGATGCGTCGAGGAAGATGCTCGTTTGATTGTGTTTTGAGATTCATACACACATCCTCCTCATGGAAAACACATGACAAAATGCAGATGATGCAGCTTTTAAATTAAAGGCAATTGATATGGATGTGGAAGAAGGAAACAGAGCTGCTGCACGTGATATGAGCTCGGCATCAATAAGTTGATGCTGAGAATAGAATAAAAGCAGATGGCCCCAACTTGTTAAGCCTATATATGTACAATTTAAAAATTTTGTTGATGCAGCTTATATTCAGGTGTGCTGAATAGTCCTGAAAATGCGGTAATAGGAATTACAGGGGGTGTTAATAACAGTTCGTCTCATCATTATGGCAACACAGCCATCACCTGCATGACTCCACGGGACAAATCATATTTTTAAACATTCTCCACAGAGATAGGTTTTATCCAATAAACAACAGGCAGGTAGAGGCTGTCCTCCAGGCCTCATTTGAGTCAGTTTTGTGGCAATACAAGCCCGCTCACAGTAAGGATGCATGTTTTTCTTTTTTCAAGTGCCATAAAGACATCCACAATGAAAATATATATTTTTATTTTTTTATATTTTTGGGCTAAAAAGTTACATAGTGGGGATTTAAACTAATGGATAACTTACCCTTGTCTGATCAGTGTTGTTTTTTTATAGTCAAGGAAATCTCTTCACCACCACAAGAAGACATCATTCCTCAGACAGCCCCGTCCCAGGGAAAAGTCAACCCCTACTCTGTGATTGACATATCTCCGCTCCAAGTGCAGCAGCTGGAGCAGACGCAGCATGGCCCCTCCTCCCCCGCCTCCACCCCCACAGAGCCCAAAGCTCCAACAGAGCTCCACCCGAGTCCTGCCGGCATCACCTCAGGCTACTCAGTCCCCGTGCCCTGTGGTTATGCGACACCCTCCAGTGTGCCTCTCATCACCCCAGCATACACCACACCCGTCATCATTCGACACCTCTCTATGGATGAAGAAGGTAACGGAAAGTATACAGCATGACAAAATATGTCTACAAAGACCTTTTTAAAGCTACAAATATTCTAGTTGTAATAGTCTAATAGGTCTGCAGTCAACAAAAGGAATTCTTGCTTGACTAAAGAAATGCCCTGTGAATGAATTAAAGTCTAAGATTATCCAAAAACATCTATGTTACAAGTAAACAACATTTTTATAAGCAAAAAAGTGGTCACTTCCAAAACTCCAGCTAACTTACTCTGTGCCTTCTCCTCTCTGTTGTGGTCCATATAAATCCTTATAATACTAAATGAAATTGTTAATATAAAAAGTTAACAAAAAATTTGGTTGACTTAGACACAACTGACCAATTACTTAAACGACTAAAGGACCAGAGCCCTTCAGTTGAGTCATTTTGCTTTGTGCCCAGCCTTCCCACAAGGAAGCACAACCTAAATTTAGCCTTCCCAAAGGTCTCTGTTGGCTGTGAGGATTTTCCGGTTTCCCTAAATTCTTGCTCCATGCAGTTTAGTTGTGCTGTGGAATCTGATCTCTCTGTAATTATCTAACCAAGGACCAGGGTCACACCAAAAGACACCATGAAGACTGAAACAAGTTTTAAAAGTTTGATAGTGAGTGGCTTCAATCAGATTCCCACTACTTTTTACCCAAGGATCTTAATTTGTTTAATAAAGGCTCCAATTCAATACAAGAACAGTTAAGTGCCTGGGTGACATCTAGTGGTGTGTACACAAATAACATTTTATTTGTTTGATTTTGTGTCTTTATTTCTGCCCACAGTCACAGTGGTTGGGACTGGCAGCACATCTGTTGACAGGTATTTGCTTTTCCACATTCATTCTACAACACACTGTATGTTATAAAGATCTTAAAGTACTAACTCAGTATATTAAAAAATAATCAAGTATGTTTTTATAATCCTATGTTTTTCTGTGAAGTGTTTTTAGTGAAGAGTATCCCCCCATTAGAGAAGAGGATGCTTTGGCTAAGTGGGTTTCAGATCCGGCGAACACTGCATGGATGGAAAGTGAGTGATGTTACACATTTTGATCTTATGAAATCATGACTTATTAATGAAAAATCTCAGCAGTTTAGTTTCCTTTTAGCTGCTGTCACTGTCACTGGTCTCACATGTATTCCAAGACATTTCCTTCCTTGTATTTTGAGGAAGTAGTGTTAGATGCCTTTCTTTAGAAACTTTGTGTTTTAGTTTTTGTTAAAGTAATGTTGCTCTGCAGATCCTGATGAAGTGATTTATGATGATGTGCCAAGGGAAAACTCTGACACAGGTAAGCACATATTTTTGAGTGTATTCTTAATCTCTTATTACTATGTTCATGTGTATACTTTTGCTTTTCATTTCTTATTGCCGATCTAAGCTCAGATTCATTACAAATGAACTTTTTGTGTTCTATGCATGTATTTGACGTGCAGAGAATGAAGAGATGATCTATGATGACGTTGAGCTTGGCGAGGAGGGGGGAGGTAGTAGTCTGGACAATGGCTGGAGCTCCAGTGAGTTTGAGAGCTACGACGAGGCCAGTGATGGAGAAGGACGCCATGACAACGGTGTACCCCATGCCTTTATGAGAGGGCGGCAACCCCAAAAGAAAACACATGTATGTATTAAACACAGTAGCATGCTCTTTGCAGCAAGTCTTGATTAAAGACTGTAAACTGACAAATTTATGATACAAAATAAGATTTCCATTTCAAATTTAAACCTATGAGAAATCCACTGCAAATCTGTGGTCTCTGGTTTAATAAACACTTGCACTGAGATTATAACAAATGTAAATATGACTAATTAAAGCAACAACAATAACTTCCATCTGTTTCTAAGCAGTCCACACAACAAATAAAACAACATACAAGTACAACTTCTGAACAATGCAAGAATGTGTACAAAATGTGATACCACTTTATAATTACAAACCATGACTACAAAACATGAATGAAGACTTTAGTCATTATGAACATATTGTTTATTAAGAATTATGAAATTAAGTTCATGCTTTATTAAGGCTAATTAAAGTATAGTTATTATAAAGTGTTACCGAAAATGTGAAAAAACTGGTTTGTTTGACATTAAGTTTGCTTTTTAAAAATTGTTTCTTTATTATTTTGGCGATTAAAGAGAATGCAATAGACATTGTGACAATCAAATCATGATTGTCTGGCTGCATACTTAAATCCATAACAATCTAGCAAGTGTACTTACAACAAAGTCTGTAATGTCTTCACTTCATTTGCCTCTGTTCAGCTCTCTCAAGATCTTACACGCTTGAAAGAACACTATGAGAAAAAGATGAAAGATCTAATGGCTAATACAGTGGGGACTGTAGAGCTGCAGCAACTTAAACAGAAACATGAGCAGAAGGTAAACCACTGTGGCCCGTCTAACTCCCCTGCGCTAGTCCCAAGCTGCTATAGCTAACTCGGATTTCATAGTGACCTGCATCCTGCTCTGATGTCAATGTCTCTTCAGTAGGTGGTTTTGGTGATGGTGGGAATGGGGTTTTCATATTCGACTTATTTGTGTCTGGAATAATGGTCATTCTTGTATCCATGGTGGTAAAGGGACTGTGATCTTCTGCCATCTTGTAAACATTGTTGTACAAGATCTGCTCATCCTCTCTAACAATCCACTCTAAGTACCTCATTTTAGCAGCTTCTATAACATTCACTAATACATGGATACTTTCAAGTGGTACGACATATTTTTCTGATGTTAGTTTGAAATTAACACAGTTTCATGGTTTTGGTTATAGATGCAGAAGTTGGTGAAAGCAGCAAAAGAAGGGACCAAAGATGGACTTGAGAAAACCAAAGCTGCTGTGAAAAAGGGACGTTCTTTTATCAAAACGAAATCCTTCTGTAACGGTAAGATCAAAACTGCAGTGCCAGTCTAGTTTTATTTTAGCTGTACTTACTTTCGCTTCATGTTCCAGAGAGAAAGTCTGACTGTTTCGAAGGCGAGGCAGAGCTTTTCATAGAGGTGGACTGTTTTAATGTTGAACCGGTGTTGTGTCCAGCACCAGAGGGCCTTTCACAACAACAGGTAATACGTTGCATAGATTTTAGCTTATCTGTCTGAAATATTAGAGACACATAGACATATTTGCAGTTTTTTGCCTATGAGCTATCGGCCTTAAATCTTCTGCATAGGCTGATATTTTGTTTTGGATATCCTGCTGCCTAAAGAGTACACACAAAACTTTATTTCAACACTTTAGTGTGATGAGAATTTTATGGTAAAAAGGGCTGTGGATGAGTTTGTAGTAAATTTGGGGAAAAGAGTCAAAATTGGCCCTACGTATCGGCTCAAAAATATCAACAATCGGTATCAGCATCTGCTATGAACAAAATGTTCCAGTCAGTTTCCACAAAGGATTATGCAAGTGTATTGTTTTTGTCTTTCCAGCTTGTTAGAAGATGTATCTTGGGGTCTATCCTGGAAAGTGAGAAGAACTACCTTGAAGCTTTAAAGAGGATATTGGAGGTCTGTGAGGTGTGGTTGCAGTGCCTGTTTTTGTCATTGTACTTTTGTAGCTGACCTAATCTGCTTTATCAGCAATATGAGAAGCCCCTGACCCAGATCGAGCCCCGGCTGCTGAGTGACAGGAAGCTGAAAATAATCTTTTACCGCGTGCGAGAGATTCTGCAGTGCCACTTCTTGTTCCACATAGCACTGGCGAGCCGAGTGGCAGAGTGGGACAGTCTGGAGATGATCGGAGATGTGTTTGTGGCATCGGTGAGAGGCCTAATAACTTCAGAACAGATAAACACATATTCTTGGTTGTTATACTTTCTAAATGTTTTTCCCAACAGTTTTCAAAGTCCATGGTACTAGATGCCTACAGTGAATATGTAAACAACTTCAGCACCGCAATGGCAGTGGTGAGAAAGACTTGCACAGCCAAACCTGGTTTCCTAGAATTTCTAAAGGTTTGAGAACTTTAGTACTTGACATTATGTAGAAAATATTGTTAGTTCCACATTCTAAAGATAAGAGTGAGACAAAAAAATAAGTACGGATTTATTATCTTCCTACAGCATCGTCAGGAGACCAGTATGGACAGAATGACTTTGTATGGCCTAATGATGAAACCTATACAACGATTTCCACAATTTATATTACTACTCCAGGTAATTTCATTTATAGTAAAATTGTCTATTCTATTTTTCACCAGCAGAGGGAGTGCCATCCACACAAGCCAAGTTGACTGAGTTGTCTTTACATAGCACTGCTGTAGAATACTGTATGGAAAAACTATACTGTATAAGGAATACGTTTATAGATTACTTTAAAACTTGTTTAGCATTTTATTTTATACCTTTTTAATAGCAGTGGTTTATCATTTCTTATTACAAATTTTCTCCAGGACATGTTGAAGAACACACCTGTGGGCCACGCAGACCGCCTACCTCTGCAGATGGCCCTGACTGAATTAGAGACTCTGGCTGATAAGCTGAATGAAAAGAAAAGGGAAGCTGATCAGCGCTGTGAAATACGGCACATTGCAAAAGCTATGAACGAACGTTATCTCAACAAGGTGTGTACATATATGAAACAAGGCATATAACACAGTTCTTCAGGTTGTACATTTATAGTCTATTTCTCCCCAGCTTCTGAGCAATGGCAGCCGATACCTAATCCGCTCTGATGACATGGTAGAGACGGTGTACAGTGATCGAGGTGAAATCATCAAAACCAAAGAGCGCCGTCTCTTTCTGCTGAATGATGTGCTCATGTGTGCCACGCCTAATGTCCGGTGAGACAACCCCCACAAACCTGACCGAGCTGTAAATCTTTGCCTCTCTGTAATTTGCACTTCCCCTTGCCCTTTGACCTTGAAGACAGTTTTATTGTCAACATAAATTAGTCTGGATATTTATTCAGCATAGGATTCCCACATGTAATAACATTTTTTGTGTAACTGGTAGTAATACCTTGGGTTTTCAGCTTCCTGTTATAGGTGACATTGTGAAGATTTTTCAAATATCAAAAGATTTAAAAAGATATAATGATATAAAAGGTTTAATTTGTGGATTGCTTTGGCTAAGGTCCTAATTTCTTTATTCTTTATTTTGAAACTCTTGGATAAACACTCATATTATACTTATTTTAGCTTGATTGTGGTGAGGAATACTAAAAATGCTTATCTTTTATAATGCAGGTATCTGGACGGCAGTGGGAGCGGTACTGGGAATGTGTCCCTAGACCAGAGGTTCCTGCTGAAGTGGAGCGTGCCTTTAAACCTGGTGGAGGTTTTGGAGTTTGGATCCAGTGAGGACATGCCTGAGAACAGCCGCTTCCAACCGCCTCATTCTGGGGAGAAGGTGGTCATCAACGCAAAGCCAAGTAAGAGACACTGTTATACAACTCATGGTACAATGCAGTGTCTGTTAGATCAGCCACTAGGTATTTGTCATCATGTGCAGAATGGCTTTTTATAGTTGCACAGGATTGCAAAATGTTTGTTATGGCAATATGAGCTAAAGCAATATCCACTTAATCCACAATATACATTGCAACATTCAAATGCCGTAGCAAAATCCAACGAAAGTATTGCGTATTATCCTTTTCATTAAAGGTGCACTATGTAACTTTTCTGGTTGGGTGTCTGCTAACTGTTTGTCTCCATGGAGGGGTTATTGCCTTGAATCTGATTTATTTTGCATTTGATCAATTATAGGTGTTTTCATAGCAAAAAAAACAACAACTTGAACCTTGGAAAAAAAGTGATCATTGTCTCCTCTCCACAGATCAGACCTGTAACTTGGCCTGCTGGCATCGTCTTTGTGAAAGTTAAATGCCAAAATAGCAAATATAAGCAATAACATCAAAAAGTTCCAGAGTGAGAATTACTCAAACACAAAAACATACAACAAATATTCCTGATCAAAATTTCAGAAATATAAAGGAGGGGAATAAGTTTTCTGTTACAAAATCCCAAATACCTGTAGGCAGTAACACCACAGTTTGCTAATGTTTGTTTCGTTTCAAGTTGTGAATCATTGTCAAAAGTCTTGCCCTAACCTGTTTTTGTCTAAAATCTCATACAAGGAACTTAACAGCAGCCACTTGAGTGCTTCTATTACTCTGTTTTTTCCTGGACAAAGTTATCCTGTTGACATAGTTTGTAGTCTGTAAAAAATGTTTTCCACTCAAAAACTAGTAATAATTCTGTCTTGGTACTGGCCTTCTCCAGTGAATTCAGTCTTTCCACTGAGCACTCCACTGTCGCAAGCAGCTGCTCGACCACTTTAAAAGGACCAGATCGACAAAGAGAAGCAGGAGCGTAGGAGGCGAGCACATATTATTTAGTGGTCAGAGCAGTTTTATTCTAGGAGTTTGCTCAGAGGTTATGGCACTATATGGTTGAGGTGGTGAGACCCCTTGTCAGTCAGAGGTTGTATGTGTTTAAGCGGAGTTGGGGGCTTAGTGCTTTGGTTGCCAACGGTAGTAAGCTGGAATTACAACCACTGTGGTCACACATTGCACTGTTTACTCATCCTAATCCCTCCTGGTTAATGTCTGATTCATGTCTTGTAAGCAATCACAGACTCCCCACACCAGCATCAATGTCACCTCTGTTTGATCAAATATTTTCTGTGATTATTCAAAATACAATCATAACTCTAACCCTAAGGTGAAATCTTAGGGATTCCATCACAGTATACTAACCTTCTAATTCTGTCTAATTCTCCACTGACCTATATGAGCAGCCTTTTCCATGCAGTGATACAACTAGGCAGCTATTACAACATTTGCTTAAAAGTGAGTATGTTATTTGTGTAAGCTGTGATATGATTTTAGTGCAAGACAAACAGTGGCTAGTATTTGGTTTTGTGATCGGATTAAGTGTTCTATTACACAATAAAAGATACTGTACATTTTCACCATGTGTGGCCTGTACAAGGGATATGACAGGTTTATAGAGTTCTTCATTTCTGTTATGACCTGATTCCCCTGTGGATTCAAAGACTTCATTGAGATAAATGGGGCATTCAGCTGTACAGGAATTAGAGCAGGGAGTTTATGATGAAACAATACAACAGAACAGGACATCCACAATCCTAATATGGTGTGCCAAAGGTGATTTCTATATAAAACTGCTAAAATGCACTCTGTCCTCTATGCTTGCCTTATGTCCTACTGTATGTGAGTTGTCATGCATTAGGACCATTATAAATATATTTTAAATACATTTCTGGGGAGACCACCAATAAACAAACCCATTTAGTGGAGTATATTTCCTGAATACCCAGGCAGCAAGGCCTCAGGGGTGGACAAAGCTGGGTTACCATGGAGTCAGAGCACCCGCCAATGGCCAATTCAGTGACTATTGTAGAAGAGGAGGAGCAGAGACAAACAGGACCCAGTGTATTTCTGTGCCAGACATTCTTAGACCCAGTTTAACTCTTTAGATCCCTGTAATATCACCAGGAATACTTGCAAACCTCACAGTTATTTTTGCTTATATGGTCTACAGTAGCTGGCATGGGATGAACTTAAAATATGTAAAATGATTAAAGGCAAAATACAACTTGATGACTATGCGCCCATTCTTTCTGCCAACATTACAGGGCTGAATGAAAGTGTTGTTGTGCAGATTTGGAGGGGAAGCACGTCTAAATTAAGAAAACTGTCCTTGCTTCCCAGGCCCTTTATTGATTTATGTCTGTCTTATCTCCTAACTGTCTTAACTTTTGCTGTCACATTCACTTTTAAAATTATGCAAAAAAGCCAAAGTTTCAGGACATTTTGCAGTTTCCTTAGATTGCCTGGTTGCCCACAATATCTGAACACATCACTTATGTTAATGTATTCGTTCTTGCGGTGTTTTGTGTATCTTTACAGACAAACTATACATGGGTCCAGGACAGCTGTATCAAGATTTACAGAATCTAATCCATGACCTCAGCCTGGTGAACCAAATATCCAGCATGATAAGCAGCCTCAAGGGGAACTACCAGGTATAAAAGCCTGCAGCATAACTGATAATAAAGTATATGTAGTAGTAGTAGTAGTAGTAGTAGTAGTAGTAGTAGTAGTAGTAGTAGTAGTAGTAGTAGTAGTAGTAGTAGTAGTAGTAGTAGTAGTAGTAGTAGTAGTAGTAGTAGTAGTAGTAGTAGTAGTAGTAGGTAGTACATACATTATACATTTTTGTTGTGTGCAATAGCACACATCTCAGAAGCGGCTTATAGCTATCCATATAGTCAGTCTAATGAGCGGAATGTGCCAGCGTGGCCAATTTGTCTTGGGGAGCCTGGGGTCCCTCTGGGCTCAGGCCTGTCATGTGATGTGGTTAGTGGAGACACAGGTCTGACTGTGCAGTAGGACTGAGCTCAGCAGGCTGTGTTTGTGCTGGGCTGTAGGTTCAGCCAAAGCTCAGAGGAAGCAGAGGAACAGAAAACCTTCCAAAGAGGAGCATTAACTATGAAAAAACATCAATATACAGAGAAATTGGGTTCTATGAACACTGAACTAAAATGTATAAATATGTGTTTTGAGACATTTACTCTTGAAAATAATAGTATTTTTATATTAATATTTTATTTATATTGTAGAACTTAATTGCATATTTAAGAAAGAGGAAACAAAGTATAATATGCTTGTCTTATTACTGCATCCTGTTTGTATGTGCAGAATGTGAACCCCACAGTGGCGCAGGACTGGGTGTCCGGTCTGCAGAGGCTCATCCTGAAGAAGGAAGAGGAGATTAGGGCAGCTGATCGCTGCAGGATCCAACTCCAGCTGCCGGGCAAACAAGACAAGTTTGTACAACCCACTCACCTCTGTTTAAATCATTAGTAATATGTTATGACTATTGTCTGTTCACAGCTGTGTCGTGTAAAAATATCTGGATATTAGACACAGCAAGTTCCCCACCAATTCTAATCTGTGGCATGAATCACAAGGAGATGTGGATCAATTTGTCTTTTAAGACCATAGCTGCAGCTGTTACCATGCACACATATTTGTCACACATTAACACTCCGTTATATTCTGCACATGGTCACCCAAGGGTGCACCCTGACTTCAGTTTTCCACATTCTTTGCCCTGTAGCCACATATTTGCTATTCCTCTCTCACAATTTCATATGACCCTTGATCTCTGTTGTATATAACAGGACAGATTATCCACAGATATCTCTGGAAGCACAGCTGTGCCCCTCATTCCTTTACTGATCCTTCACCCACAAAACCCTTCACCCTTGGGACTTGGATTGTCAGTCAGCCATGGCACATTAGCTCCTGTCAAAAATTTAAAGTGACACAATTATGGCATATCTTAACAGGCAAATTTGTTGTATTTACAATTTGATCAAATTTGAAAAATCCTAAATGTTAACATTTTTGAATTGTTGTTTTTCTCTTGCCCTTACAGGTCTGGTAAAGCCACTTTCTTCAGTGCAGTATTCAATACTCTGAGCCCAGCGATCAAACAATCTTGGATCAGTAACTTGCAAATGGCAAAGTTGGCTCTAGGTACAGTTATTAAAGCTACTCCTTGTTGGTCTCACTGTATTATTTTGCCAGTGCTGACAGAATGACAGATTGATTTAACAATAAACGTTTGTCACAAACGTTATGACTTGTTTTACTAGCTGTAGTTTTACAATCTGCGTAAATCTATGAAAGCTTTTACAAACTGACCTTCAGAAAACCATGCTCATATATTGTTTTTTTTTCATAGAGGAGGACAACACACATGGATGGTTCTTTGCAGAGGACGATGGGAATCAAATCAAAAAGCAGAAGCACCCTCTTCTCCTCAAACAAATGCCTGTGGTAATGTCCAAACTACAAGAGTTCAAAGTGAGTATACATTCTGTATGTTAACAGTACTGTCGAGACAAACTTGGATGAGAGCGATTAACCCTTGTAAGACTATTAACCCCTGCACACAAACTGGAAATATCCAGTCTAAGTCTCTTAGACTTAGACATTGAGTAACAAGGAAATATACCGCAAACCAATTATCATGATCCTTTACAGGCTTACATATTTCTCTCAATCCCAGTTTTTATCACTGTTTTTTGGTACAAATCTGGTTTGCAGTTTTAGTAAGATCTAACTGAACTTAAATAAATATCACATTACAACCTAATTTTATTTCATTTGTGTGGTAGGTGGAATGTGCAGTCCACAACCCAGAGCCTCACATCAATACAGAGAGCACTGCTGATATGCCAGTCCTGGGACATGGATGTGTTTGGGTGAGATTCTTATCCATTGTCTCAAAGTAAAGGTCACCCACGCTTGAATTGTAGGTTTTAACAAAGTTTGTTTTTAAGGTTGCAAGTTGTACCAATCAGATGGGACAGATAGCTATTGTAGCCATGCAGAACTCCAGTCCAAAGGTCACAGAGTGTTTTAACGTGGAGTCTCGTATCCTGTGCATGGCCTACATCTCCGCTGAGCAGCCCCAGGAGAACGGAGAGACTGTGT